AATTTACTTAAATATCAAGTACTGAACTACATAATTCACATACATTTGGCCATACAGTATATATAGATATTGGAAAAAAAAACGGCAATGACAAATAGGATAAAAATCCTCCAAATATGTACATTAATGTAAGAGTTGGAATGTAGGAGTTGGTGATATGAACTCAAATTTATATCACAATATTTTTCATTATTCAGGCAATAGCAATATGAGATATTATTATTATAAGAGTTTTCTTAGGGGACTATTTTGCCTTACAACACCCTGCATGTACCCCTCTGCCATGAATGGATTCAAATAAATGGATTAAAATACATTTTAAGACAAAACTTTATCACAAATCTATCATAAAACAATGTGTCAGACATCAGGCAGTATATATCTAACTACTTCATGTAATCATTTTCTGTGAGGGAGCTTTCAGAGGCAATAAAATCTTCAGACGTCTGGTTCCTATCACTACCACTGTGAAGAATTCTGACTCAGCACATTTCTCTACAACGGAGCATTTCACACCAAACCACTCTGGATGATTTCTTTACATCTCAACCATTTAATCATGTAGAATTTTTTGAAAAATTGGTGGAGTTTCCCTTTAACAGTTTCCTGGTCCACCAGGCTTTAAATGATTGCCCAATCACAAGTGAGAATGCTGTACAGGGTAAACAAATGTCCAGCGCTATTTTAAGAGTTATATCTTTATTAAACAAAGTGAAAGATTTGACTAGTGAGTTATTTAAGCTGTTCAGGCTCATGTTTAGTTTGTCTCGGTGGCAGCGCCGTTTGTGGTTTACTGTGTTTGGGCCTATCACTTTATCCACAGTACAGCAAAATTTATATCATGAGAGAACATCATACCGGTATTTATGTTTATATTGGTATACTGCCCACCCTTGCTGGAATGTGTTGTTTGTTTTGAATTGCTTTGTGTGTTTGCATGGAAATTATGTTACATACAGCTACACTATATGGACAAAAGTATTGGGACACCTACACATTACACCTACAGGAGCTTTTATGACATCCCATTCTAAATTCATAGGCATTAATATGGAGTTGGTCCACCCTTTGCAACTCTAACAGCTTTCACACTTCTGGGAAGCTTTCTACAAGATTTTGGAGTGTGTCTGTGGGAATTTTTGCCCATTTATCCAGAAGAGCATTTGTGATGTCAGACACTGATGTTGGACGAGAGAGTATGGCTCGCAAAGGTGTTGGATGGGGTTGAGGTCAGGGCTCTGTGCTGGACAGTAAAGTTCTTTCACACCAAACTCAGCCAGCCATGCCTTTATGGACCTTGCTTTGTGCACTGGGTCTCAGTCATGCTGAAACAGAAAAGGGCCTTCCCCAAACTGTTCCCACAAAAGTTATAAGCATACAATTGTCCAAAATGTCTTTGTATGCTGAAGCATTAAGACTTCCTTTCACTGGAACTAAGGGGCCTAGGCCAACCCCTGAAAAACAACCCCATAGCATTATGCCTGCTTCACCAAACTTGACAGTTGGCACAATGCAGTCCGGCAGGCAACGTTCTCCTGGCATTCACCAAACCCAGACTTGTCCATCAGACTGTCAGGTACAGAAGCATGATTCGACACTCCATAGAATATGTTTCCATTGTTTTAGAGTCCAGTGCTGGCGTGCCCTACACCACTTTATCTGATGCTTGGCATTGTGCTTGGTGATGTAAGGCATGTACACAGCTGCTCAGCCATGGAAACCCATGCCATGAAGCTCCCGGCATAGTTTTTGTGCTGGTGTTAAGGCCAGAGGAGGTTTGGAACTCTGCAGTTATTGAGTGTTGGTGACTTTACGTGGTCTGATACTTCATGGCTGAGTTGCTGTGGTTCCTAAACGCTTCTACTTTTCAAAAATACCACTCACAGTTGATGGTGGTATATCTAGGGGTGAAGAAATTTAGCAAACTGACTTGTTGCAACGGAGGCAGCCTATTACAGTACCACGCTCAAATTCAGTGAGCTCCTTAAAACAACCCATTCTTTCACAAATACATGTAAAAGGCAGACTGCATGCTTGATTTTATACACTGTGGCAATGGGAATAATAAATAAAACACTTGAATTTAATGATTGAGAGGTGTGTCCCAGTGCTTTTGTCCATGTAGTGTAGTTGCATAAAAGTTTCACTATGTAAAATTAACATTTACAAACAGTGTTTACATACTACATCAAACTCATTTCTATCAAAAAAGTGAGGAAAATGTGACTTTTCATGATATGTCCCTGTGAAGCATCTACACTTCTATCTTTTTTCTTACAGAAGTTCTTAATTAAGTAAAGATATGTGCATTGCTGCATTAGTGTATGTGTTTGAACTTGATAAGACAAAATGCACACTGGTGTTTGACGCCCTCTGCTGGGTAAATGAAGAAAGAACAGCGGCCCAATCAATATCCTGGGGCCACTAAAGATTTTTGTTTAACAGTGTCACAATTATTATTATTTATTTATAATATGTACAACAAAGGCATGATAAAGCATCACCATTTTTCTTCTCAAAACTCCAGGCTAGTTATTTGCATGATATAATTACAGAGCTAATTCCCAAGTGCTGCACATGCTGAAATGTTAGAGTTGCCATACTATTTGTTTTAGAGATTTCAAAAACCTCAAATTCCTCAGCTACATTCATAAACAACCACATAATACTGTTCGATGATATAACATCTTTTATTACAGAGTATGGGAAATACACTGCCAGTCACCCTGTTACCATTCTCAAAGATAAGCTTACTGAACAAAGACACAGAACATTATCTGTGTACTGTAAGCACAGAGAATAAGATGTTTCAATTGGTAACATGAAGAACTAGTGGAGTGTTCTGTATTGCAATGTTATAAAGTTCTATTATAATGCTGAGGACCTCTGGACAGATCATTTTGAATCACACAGAGTGCTGACAAGATGCCCCACGCTGTCTGATGATCTCTGATTACTGATTCTCTTTATTTTCTTACAGGGATGTGCAGTGATATCAGAATCACATCAGTATCAGCAGATAATTGCTTTAAACAGATATTAGATGATGTATTTATTGTGCTCCAAAAGAGCTAAATGTTTGGGTGACGCTGGGCTACAGTGGCCTTCCGCCCAATTACTGCTGGGATAGGCTCCAGCACCCACTTTCTTAATTTTTTTCCTGCATTTATAACACTATTGAAATAAATGTAAGATTATTCTATAATAGTAATCCAGGTAGATTTAGTCCTAATTTCCTAATTTTTTAAACATGTATCTGCATTGGCATTTGTAGATATGTGTGTGAAAAATATTGGATATCAGCATTGTGCATTCCTATTTTTTAATACAAAGGCTGCTGTCCTAATAACCATGTTCAACTTCAAATTTACACACAATGTCTTGTTGTTACATATGAACAAAAAGTATTCATAAACATAAAGAAGTACATTTAAAATTGCTGCAGGCAATTTTTTTGTTCAATTTTGACCCATTTCTATTAGCGAATCATCTTTAATTCTCAAAGATTACGAGGGTCTCTCAGATGGACTCAAAATCCTCCACATTCAATGTGATTCAAGTCAGGAGGTTGGCTAGGCTATGCAAGCATCTGCACCTTTTTCAGAAACCAGTCTTGAGCAATTTTGGCTGAATGTTTGGCATCATTGTCTTGGTAAAATGCCCATCTTCTCCCTTGGCTCTAATATGTCCCGGCACATCACTCCATTCGCTTCCTTCGATGACATGTAATACCCCAGTACCAGTTGCAGAGAACCAGCCCCATATCAGGATGCTCCCACTTTAACACTTCACTTTGGGCATGGTGTTCTTAGGATCATACATACCTTTTTTCTCCAAACATGACAAGCTGAATTATTGTCAAAGAGTTCTAGTTTTGTTTCGTCTGACCAGAGTACACCGTTCCAAATGAGTCTTGATGCCTGTTTGGAAGTTCTGAAGTGCGGTGCCTATTAATGAGATGATTGCAGTGCAGTTCATTGATTATTGTTCTCTGTATAACTGTTGTTCCTGCTGCTCTCAGGTCATCTGGCAACTCTTTGAGTGACTGCTGGTTTCTCTCTTACTTTTCTTATCACTAGTCTGAGAGAAATCTTGTGCGGCGCACCTCTCTGGAGACAATTACTTGTGGTTTGATGAATTTACCAATTTTATATTATTGAACCAACCGTAACAACAGAGACGTTTAAGATCTTTGTTAGGGTCCTGTAGCTCTTTCCATTCAAGTGTTGTCTAAGAATGTCCCTGAGAACTTGTCTTTTATAATGACACCAGGTACAATTTGCACTAGAGCATTTTTCTTTTTGCAGCAGTAATGTGTAGAACTTGATTTATTTTTATTTTGAACCTTTATATATGTATATTTGAATACAGTGTTTTTTTTGGTAAATCTGAAGTGCATTTATGCACTGTTTTTTTTCCTCATGCCATAACATTCGAATGCCCATTGTCTTTGGTACTGCATCACCGCTTTTAATTTAGAATTTGTTACCTTTTATCTTCCTGTTGAACATTATTACACCATATACTAAAAACGTTGCACATTCATTTCAGTCATGGATGTGTGTGTGAACGTTCACATGAAAGGATGCCTGTATGTCTGTGTGTATGTGTTGAAGAATTATGTGATCTTTAGCTACTATGTTACCAAAGACGAAGCACATCTTCAATGTGTAAACACAGTTGGTGAATAAAGCCTGATTCTAATTCTGTATCCACATATAAATATAATTAAATGAGTGATCAAAATAAGTCTAAAAGCTTTCTTTTTGCCATTAGTAGCAATTCCTATTATTTGTTGCAATCCTTTTGTCCCACTTTTCCATTATGATTAACATGTTTAATTTCATAGAAAATAAATAGTAGCAAAGGAAACACCTGGTACTGATATTTTTATCATTTTTTCAAAAAGTAAACATCAGAAATGTCATCTCTGCATGGCTGCATTGGCTGAACCTCGCAATATTCTCCTCACTCAGTCATAACAGCTGTGCACTCCCAGATCTACTTTAGATGACCACTCGCACCCTGGCTATGAAGAGTGCGGCAGCGGCATCCTCAAATTCCCTCGCATCCATGGTTGGGCCTTCCTGCTGCTCACCGGCGGCACGCACCTCAGCCATGGCCTGGGCAAGCTTGGCAGGAGAAATCTTGGCACTGGCCTCCAAAAAGCGTGCAGAATCGGCTCCGTGAGAGGTGTCCAGCGCCTCCTCCAGGGTGGCCAGGACGGCACGGCACAGGGACCTCTCTGCTGGCCGCTCGGGGCGGCTGGCCACGGCAGCGTACAGGCACTGGGACTTGCGGATGTAGTCTGTGAATGCGGCACACGTCTGCACACCCTGCCGGAACAGCTCGAAGGGTACGGCCTCATAGTCATGGCAACGGATTCGCCGGAGCAAGGGGGCAGCTGTGGTGCCCGACAGGCCACCTTCACTGCACAGGCACTGGAGCATTTCAGTGTAGATGCGGCCTTGGATGCCACCGGGGACATGCCGAAGGGAGCCACACTGGGTCAGCAAGTCATAGGCCACACGGATGTTGTTGTTGAAGGCGGATCTGAAGCAAAAAGCAGCAAATATGTCTCCAAATCTACAAAGCTTCCTTTTGGCCAAGCCTCCTGCAAAGTTCACTGCCAACTAGGTAAGAATGCACCAATTCACATATTTTTGCAAAAAATGGTTGATTAACTCACATGTACGACAAAAAACTAAAACAGTAAGTTACTTATAGTTAATGCCTTGTAGTATCAGACTCAGCGTAAATTAGCTAATATGTTTATTGTGCATTTGTGACATTTTCAGTTTTTGGAGTTTGAAAATGGAAACATCCTATGACAGAAACTTCACAGAAGGTTATCACACAAAGTTACTGCATGAAATGGTTTTAAATACGTTGCCTGATGCCTGAGACATTGTTTTACAATAATTTTGAGATAAACGTTTCGGCTTAAAACATATTTCATCAAGCCTATCATAGTGGAAAGGTACATGCAGGGCATTATAGGATGAAACAGTGCCCAAATAAAGCATAATTTTTCCTGATTTACATTTTTGTCATTACATATTAAAGGTCAGAAGTCTATCAAAGTCAGGAAGCTTCTCCACAATTAATCATTTCACATCAAAGCACTTTAAATGACTTTGTTTACATCTGAAAGATTGAATTAATCAGAAATTTTGACCAACTGGTGGAAGTCCCCTTTAACTACACACAAAAGAACAATGCTGAGACGTTGGGTTTACTTAACTGTTACAGTACTGAATTCATGGCGGCATATCACCGATACATTGTTTTGAACGATCGTTGTTTATAAAAGTTTGATAGTGTGTGGCACTTTCCATGAATAGAGTTCAATTTATTAATTTATTAGAGTTCAATTTATTATTATTTAAAGCAATAAAGTGACTGTTGTTGCCGTTCTGTAAAGAGTGAAGGGATCTGTACTTTAACGTTAAATAAAATTATTAAAATTAGCATTTAAATGATCCCACAAACACATAAAATGTCTATATCCACCTTTAAAATGGTGAATTTGAGTTTTCCCATCTCCCTAACAGTGAGATTCTCTATTAAATACATTAATTACAATCCTCCAGTAACACCACAATTATAATGTTATTTGGTTAATTTCCAAGTAATTTAAGTTTTAAATAATTATTTATACCTATTAATTTACTTAATTTAACAAAAAAAGTCATTTACCCTGTGTCGTATATTGTATGCACAACCATGTTACCACCATAAAAAATAGAACATTTAATTTACTATGTTTTTTTTGTATTATCTTGTTATTTTCTGCGGAATGACAGAGACAAGTCAGTCTTCTGATTCTATTTGCACAAAAAATTTGATTTGGTTGCAGCAGTGAAGATTAATCATTCAACTCTTTTACCAAAATTATTGTTAGAAAAAAGAATATGTACTTATTTATTTTTTAAATGTATGTAAACTGTATGGTTATCAGTAGTTAGCAAACAACATGTGCACTGCGACAAGCTAACCACTCCTGAATAGAGCTTACTTTAGGCTAAGTTTGCAATACTGTTTTTTTAAGCTTCAATTATATTTAATTGAAAATGACTAGAAACAAAGATTTTAATGAAAACATTTGGATCAAAACAATGTTCAACTTTTTGCTCCATGATGCACATTTTAGATGTTTTTTAATTGCATTAAAATCAACTGAATGGGGAATATGATCTGCGTTCAAACCCGTTACCCAGGATTCATTCCTGTTTTTCGGTCATTTAAAACATTTAATTTAGTAGGTTAAGTTACCGGAAATGTCAATTTAGTAATAAAAATTACTAACACAAGAAAAATTGCACTATTTTTTAGAAAGAAAAAAGTAATATATAAAAGAAATATAGAAAACACAACAAAACTTTGGATTTTTTTTACCTACTTTAAATATTTTAAAATCATTATGAATATGTGTATTTCAATTAACACAGGCTTTTAAATGCCATTTAAACAAAAATTGGTAAAAGGGTTGCAAAAATGCTATTTCAGAGAAAACAGCTCATATCTGATTTGACAACCTGAGGTGGGCAAATAGCGTTCTTTCTGAAGGTTAAGCCCTTACTTTGATTAATACTTTGTCAAAAACGCCAGTGAAAAAGTTCATTTTTTAAAAGAGTTTCGACGCCTAAAATGAACTGTTCACGGAAAGTGCCTTATACATTTAATGCATCACCTTCACTTTAGCGTCTCAGTGGATTTTTGGATGAAGAGAAGCAGTATGGAGGAGGTGTTTGTGAATATGTGGGGGATGATGTTGGTACCTCTGTGAGTGATGGGCCAGGCTCAGATGCCACAGTGCTCTGCTGAGCTGCTGCTGCTCCTCCACCGTGTTCTCCTGCTGCTCTCCTCCATCCCCTCCTCCTCCACCCACCGGCCCGCTCTCCGACTCCGAGGCCAGGTTACTAAAGTGTTCAGCGAGGAAACCTATGGGATCCTCCGACCTCGCCTCCACCAGCTTCAGCAGGGCATCCCGGAGCAGCACCCCGACCCCGGCCTGCGAGAGAAACTCTTTATCGCTCTCGGCTTTCACGGATTTGGAGTCAGGCATCACCGTACCGCCCCCGGAGCGCCTCTTCTCCGCCATTGTAACGCGGTTCTTTCGGTTTAAACCTTAACTAACCTTTAACACGGCGCAGTCATTCATTATAGCTGAAATATACGGCAAACAAAGCTTTAAAGAGTGAAGTAACTTAGCTTATTTCGTAAGTTAGCATACGAGCTAGCCGTACCACTGCAGGGGAGCAAGTGTTGCTATGGGAGCTGGAAACAGGCGCATGCGCACTATCAAAGGCCAAGAGCCAAAACCTACATAGTAGAGAGATGAAAACCTGTAGTTTTCAACCTTTCTTTATCCTTTAGAAATAACCAGGTTGTTTTTGTTACCTTTAAGACTGACGTTTGTCAATGACCTCTGTTCTGATTGGCTAACCTGTATTGTGCCCCATTCAAAAGGCAGTACAGAGTACAGGCTCAAACGCTCCTAATCACTTCAATGCGAATGGGTGGGGCTAAATATGGTGGTTTGGTGACACCACAAAAGCAATGAATTCAAAACAGGCTGTTTTCCATATATGGATTGTGTGGACTGGGAGGTGTTTTGAAACTTTAATAAGGTTCACGTTACATAAAACTCTCAAAAACAGGAACATTTATTTTCCAATATATAGGCCCTTTCATGTAGTCCATTTCAAAGAAATGCATCTCATTCTTTTACATTTAAGTGCTCAGTAATCATGTATAAACAATATTTAATGTATTATTAATATATATTACATGCAGTACTGTGCAAAAGTTAGAGAGAACACTTCATTTAATTTCCAGTCAAAACGGACTCAAAATGATCATTAAGTGAATTTAAGTAAGTTATTCATTTTTCAAGAGATATTTCTAACATAAGATTCGTTATTCCTTATGTACTTGCGTAAGGTAGGGAGAAGTCAAAGGAAAATGTGGAAAAAAACAACAGGATTTTCCAAAAGTTAAAAAAAAGTCTTAAAGAACACAGAAAAAAGGGCCCCTAACAACTGTGTAAGACTTAGTAGACCACCAGAACTGTCACAGTCAGATAAACAGAACTCAAAGCTTTCATCTTTAAGAGAGAGGGGGAAATCAAGCTCCACTCTTGCTTCAGATCTGAATAAATCAAATTTCTGTCCATCCTTCCACTGTGAGATGACAACTCAGCACTGTGAGTCTGAAAAGATGTGTAGCTGTCAAGAAATGTACTTGGGTGAAGCCCAGACAGCATTGAATGTGTTTGAGATTACTTGAATCATTAGAAGCAGAAAATGTAACAAATTTCTAAGACTGAACTTTGGTGGTATGGAAAAATATCCCTGCAGATTTATTTGAAAAACTAAAAGCAAGTCTTCCAGAAAAGAATGGAAGCTGTATTAGAGGCAAAGTGTGCACACACTAAATACTGACATTACTTTGAGTTGTTGAGGCTATTTTGTAATTTTCTGTTAAATGTTTTCTGCTTTTTGCTGATGCTGAAAAATGAATAACTTGTACTTAATGACTGCTTTGACTGGAAATTAAACAAAGGGTCATCTCTCACTTTTGCATAGTACTTCATAATAATTACAACCAAACAGAACTAAATCGTAGTTTTCTATGAAACAGATTCACTGTTCTTCTAGATTGTGAACTCTTTTTGGTGCTATATAGAACCCTTTTCAAAAAGGTTTTATACACAACCGTCAACAGCACATTCTCCATCAATCTTGGAATGCTTTCACAAAGTAAAAACCCTTTAATCATGCAATGGGCTCTCTGAGTGTTCATGGTTCTATATAGAATCAATTTCTTTACTAAAGAACCCTTGACAAACCATCATTTTAAAGTGTGTATAGAAGAACTAGGTGCTTGTTTTTTGTCAATTTTTCACACATTTTATTTATTTAATTTTTTCATACAGTGAAGTCCCTTGAAATACCAAGAGTCAAATGGGGTACAAAGTAATAAAGACAGAGACATAAAAATGTACCAACACAGGAATAAAAATAGTATCATGGATGATTTCCAAATAGCCCTTATGACAATTTTTAAGAGTTGCCTATTTCACTCATTTAACTCATTTTTACTTATTTAAAACCTAAAACTAAAACACCTTTTTAAAAATTACATTCTAACTTGCAACAAATTCTTAAGAAACAAAACACTAACAATGAAAACATTTTATGAACATTATAATACAGTAAACAAATCTTTCTTACACTGAGCATTGGTTCTTTAGTCAAGTTCTTATCAACATTAGTCAAGTTCTTATCAAGTGCATGCCATCTTAAACTAATGGCTCAAACAATACCCCAAGTCACCACATCAAATTAAAAAAAAAAATACTAAATTGAAGTATGACCACTAGAATGTCACATTATCTTGTGCTATGCTGGCTCCACTCCAAGGTATGCCTTTGATTTGTGACTGCTATCTAAAGCATTTTTAATTGTTTAGTGTTACAATTGACACTGGCTGCTTGACAGAAACACCAAGAATAAACATCAACCTCTGCTATTCAGGAGCGCTCCAATTGGATGACTTTAGCTTTGTGCTTAAAGTCCAAAGAGGCATATTAAAAATATCTGTATGATAATAAAATTGAGTGTTAAGTCCTGCAAAGTTGAAATTTAAAAAAAGTGACATGGAAGAAATATAATACAACAACTTAAAAATTTGACAACTTCAGATCTATGTGGGGGCTGTCTGGGTGTGGCCTAATATTTTGTTGAACAAGTGTGACTGACAGCTCTCAGTCCAACATTCCCATCCTTAAACTAATGGCTCAAACAATACCCTAAGTCACCACATCAAAGTAAAAAGAAAATACTGAATTAAAGTATGACCACTAGAAGTCATGATCTATAAACATAAGGATCATGCAATAGTTTTTATCTTTGGATTATTTTCATTCACACTGACTCCGTTACTTGGAACACAGTGGTAACCATTGGTAAGTCTGGCATTCTTTGCGAGTAAGTCATTGTAGATTGGGTTGTCAAGGCGATGCATGTAGCTGTTCTTCATTTTGTGCTCTAGCTGCATATGGTTCTGAGGTGGGAGTCCAAGGCACGCCCTTTTTGGCAAAAAGTAACAAAGAACAAAGACAATTAATATCGGTCAAAATAATGCAGCATTTTTTAACCACAATGTATAAAGGCTTCACTGCTCTTTTCAGTATATTGCACTGCAATATATTAATGAACAAACAAACTGTCTTGTACCTCATGACATTTTCGATGCAGGCTCGCTGGCGGAAGAAGGCGTTGACCACTGGTGCCCCTGGTGGTACGAGTGGGGCCTTGCAGAGGAAGCTAAGGAAGGACAGGATGCTGTGGAAGGACTGGAAGGCTGTGTCCTCTTGTGTGCAAAACGTAATTCTCTGACACAGCTCAGTCAAGATGACCAGGTCCAGGATGATAGGGCTGGCCAACAGGGAGTCCTGAATAAAAAAATATAGTAAATAGTTACATTCTTCTCAAAAACCCAACTCAGGTTTTAAACAGTAAGGGCACGAGCCAGCAGACTTGTCTTCTCACTGGAAAAAAGTTTTATTAAATCAGAAGATTCGAATGAGCACGGTTCAAATGAACATCTGTTGTCTAAGTATTTACAGTTAAACTGATTTCTATAATTAATTTCCATAATAATTTCTACAATAATAATTCTATAATAACTTCCAAAAAACAAACTAAATATAATGTATTCATTCCTCAGTGCATGGCAGTGGGTCCCCAAGACTGGAGTCAAAGACCCCTGCCTACTGCATACATGTCATGAAACATTCTTCTTACATTGCATATTGTAAACATTTAAATGATACTACATTTGTGTATGTAAATGAAAGAGGATATAGTTTATTATGATTAAAACTGGATAAAAAAATGCTGTACAGTCTTTTCTTTGGGAAAGAAAGTCATTGTTTACATTTTTGACATGTTTGTCATTTCTTGACACTGAAACAAATGTAAAAAAGTGCGGACTTGAACCTGTTGATACAGAATATATGTGTAATTCTTTATGTAAGTAACTATGTGATGAATGATGTAATTATCTAATTATAGTAAAGTAACAGTAAACCTGAGGCTTCTTATGGTTGAATCACCACTAGATGGCGTAGTAGTCCAGCACAAAGTCTTAGACCTTGCATGTCATCTCATGCATATCCTGTAATCTCCCTCTTTACTGTCACTCTACACATTATCTTGTGCTATGCTGGCTCCACTCCAAGGTGTGCCTTTGATTTGTGGCTGCTATGCTGCTTGACAGAAACACCAAGAATAAACATCAACCTCTGCTATTCAGGAGCGCTCCAATTGGATGACTTTAGCTTTGTGCCTAAAGTCCAAAGAGGCATATTAAAAATATTTGTATGACACTAAAATTGAGTGTTAAGTCCTGCGAAGTTGAAATAAAAAAAAAGTGACAGGAGAGAAATATAATAAAACAATCTGACCACTTCAGATCTATGTGGGGGCTGTCTGGGTGTGGCCTAATATTTTGTTGAGCAAGTGTGACTGACAGCTCTCAGTCCAACATTCCCATCCTGCAATGCTAAACACAACACAATGCGAAATAGTAAAGAAGGACATGTTCTTTTTCACTTTACTACTGGACGTGCATCCAGGGAATGCTTTCATGGCCGGATGACCAAATGACAGGGCAATCTTGCAAGCTCAGTTATGCTTACTAGTTTAGCTTTTGTTTGTCATTAGCTTTTATGCAGTGAGTTTCTCAGACTTGAACAGAGAGAGAAAGGTTGTTGGGGAACAGTTCTGTGAAAGCTACTTGGGCAGCAGGATCCACATCAGCATTGTGACTAGCGAGGGCACTGATTACGTACAGAGATTAGGACTGTCCAGTTTACCTTGACAGCAAAATACATCAGCCATTTAGCGGACATTGGAAAGTTATTCACAGGGCATACTGTGTACATGTAAATTGCTTGCCCATAAGACCATGATTAACCTACTTAGAAACAGATTTTGGTTGCTTGGGGCTTTAAGCTGTCAAGCTTTTGTGAGAAATCTTAGCTTGTGAAATGCCCCCAAGAGACTGCTTGGTTGTATCTACTGACCCAATAATCACTAGTAAATGTACTTCTTTCTCTTTTAGGAAATGGGCTTGCTGCCCCACCATTACCAGCTAAGAACTTACCTCACAGGTGTTGTGCAGGGCAATGGTGTTGGTGCCACCCATCATTATCTCTGAAGTATACTCATCCATCGCCCTTTTACTGTCTCCCACATAGGGAACATACTTAATCACCACCTAGACATAAACGATACAGCACAACTCAAAAAGATGTCTAAGAGCCCACCCATCAACATACACTCATAGGCAAAGGTTATCTAAGAGAAAATAAGTTAATATATCCTCTATAGAAAACAAACTTTTGCACATTTTAAGGCACAATTTAGTTCATATGTTTATTTGCTGAATTTAACATTTTGGAAAATAATAAAGCAAAATGTGGCCTGTGCAAAAGTTATAGCACATTTTATCTTTTATGTTTTATTTTACTTCCTTTCCAATATGTTAAACTCAGCAAATAAAGAGAAACAGTGCCCTAAAATTTGTAGAAAATGGTATATTCAAACCTCTGTAATGACTGTGTTCTGAATCAATACTCCAGCATTTTTAATCATAATCTCTATCTGCTACATCTGTAGCATAGTGTGGATCACTACAAACAATATGCAGTCGTATCACAAGTTGGTGGAGTGGAATTTTTAATTTTTAAAAGAACAAAAACTGACTGTTCATTTCCACACCTTACACACTTACACAATGGTCAGGTTTCTCCCCAGCCTTGTAGAGCACAGGATTAGATTGCACCATGTCGTCCACCACATTGCTCTTGGAAATCTCCTTAGAGCGGAACTGCTGTGGTGCAGAAAGGTTCATGCCATCATTATTCCCCAGATGATTGTAGCTCACAATGGAGGTCGGCTGCAGAAAAGATGACAAATTGAATGATTACTAAACATGTAACATCCTGAAAACGTATGTTACATTGACAGACTGACATTACATGATTAAGTGTTTTGATCTGGTTAACACAAGTTGAGAGTTATTCCTTTCGATTTGCTCTAATGTTCAAATGTATTTACTTGATTACATACCGAACTACATAATTAATCAAATTTAATTAAATTTACAATCTTTATTGACATGCAATTCTGACTTATCTGTTTGTTTTAAGTCAAGCATCAATAAAAACACAAAACAAGAATGTATGCACAATAACTATCAAATTCAAATGATATCTCCTACTGACGAACAAAAATGTGGTACATTTAGAATCTGCACTTGTGACAGAATTTCTTATTCATTTATTATACTCAACAATAACTGTGACTTCTAAGGGTTAAACCGTTTCTTAGGCTTGAGACAATGGAAATTTTATTTGGTTCAAGTTCTAAATTTCAGTATACATTTCAGTTTGTGTGCAAAAGAGTAAACTTAAGTAAAGCTACAGTGGCTTACCTTGATGCCTGCACTGACTAGGAAATCCACCAGAACGGACTTCAGTTTCGTCTGGCCTGATTTGAAGTCATCTCCGCCTATGAAAACCCCTTGCTGAATAGCCAGTTCCACTGCCCCTGGCACAAAAGTGTTCTGAGGGGAGCCGTTGATGTAGGCACAGCCTTCCTGAATACTAGCCACTGCAAAGAGTGTGGATGGAGATACCTCCCCTCCAGTCTATGAAGAAGTGTTTGGAGAAAAAAGTGTGATCAGATTATTTGTATGAAATTATTAATCAGTAATGCAGCCCTAAGATGTTTAACTGAAACAACTATTGAATAGTAAATAGTTTCAGGATTCTGAGCTAGTAATGATGTTAGAAATTCATTTTGTTGCTGTTATAACAAAACCATCATTTCCACAATTGTAACTTAATGTAATATGGATATTTTATGTAGTTAAACAGGTGTGAGTATGACTAAAAGCATGTCATTGTCTATATATTTTATCTCCATAGCAACACTATATGTGATTTTATTGCAGCAATCAGAAAGACATTTCTCCAGATTCAGACACATTTTATTTTAATCACCCTCTTAGTGACTGTAAGCACTACACTGAAGCATATAGGTAACTCACAGTGAGAGCTAGTCAGGCACAGCCTAGGAACAATCAGTATAACAATAACTGTAGTTTAAGATGGAAAACTACAGGACAGAGTTATTAGCCAAGAATGAAGGTGAGGCAGTGTGTAAAAATGTCCTCGCCTTCAGGCATCATGGCTACCATGCCTAACCAGGAAACTCCCATTTCTTTATTTACCACCTATTAGAACTATAATAACCCAGGTTCCAGCAAAAGCCTGCATGCCACAATCAAAACAAAAAATGTTCATGTCAATTACTAGTAGTTTACATACAACTACAATCCCATGGGTGTGCTAACAAAAATTAGCATCATCATCTATTTTTTAATTTTGATATTTGAAGGTCTAGCACCAACACTCACTGTTCACTACTGGTTCTAGGTATTAAATGTCAGTTACCTGGATGGTGTTGAGAAGGTTCTCGGCAGTATCATTGACACCAGGCACGACATCACAGAATCTTTCTGTGTTTGCTGTCCACAGCACAATCACTTTTTCCACGCCACTCTTCTCCTTGAAGTCACGGATATCTCTGCGGATCTGTTCCACCTGGACACACAACGAATCATAGAATCAGTCATTGCCTGCTCTTAAAATCACGAATAGGAAATGCACTCACATAGCTGGAGACAGCATTTGCTCTTTTGGTACCTGCTCTGCCTTGGTGCCTGTGAGCACATTATCAGCTCTATGCTCCTGGTTAGCAGCAATGAACTCTGGGATGTAAATGGAGGGTCTTGGTTTGAGCTTGCTCATGTGTGGACGAAGCATCTCCTGAAGGCTCCAGTCCAGAACCTGAGCACGTTCCATAGCACGTCCAAGATCCATTGAGGAGATATCCCAACCTGAGATACAAGCAAAAAACAACAAAAACCAAACATTAGCCCTTAAAGTCCTAAGCTGTATGTGCAAATACACAAATTCTGCCAAATATAGTTGTTGTGGTGTGCCTGTGAACTACTTTTTTACCTATCTAGGCCAATTTCTAGAAGAAAGCAGACCACAATTTACTTCTGGAGGCCAATAATCCTGCTCTGGCTTAGTTCCAAGCCTTATTTCATAGGTCTGTCAGTAATGATTAGTCTTTTAATGATCTTGATGAACTGGATCTGCTCTGGAAGATTACAGAGGAGATCAGGTGTTGTAAATTTCCACTATAGGCCAAGCCTAAACTGTACACTAGGTTTGGTATGGAAATTTCCAGCACTAAACATCACTGAATCACTGAACATACAAGTAATACTGTTTTAGTATTTATGTACACAAAGAAACTTCAGAATGTGAAAAATGTGACACAAAACAGCAACCTTTACAACAAACTATGCCAAGAACATCATAATGTACTCATGCCAGCCTTACACCAAAGGACTTTGTAAGCAATTTCACTGTTGTAGACAAATTTCCAATGTCGGACCAAAATCATGAGAGTCTTGCTTGAGTTGCATTGAGCTCACGTCATTTCAATCGTTTAGTGTAAGATGGTCAGTATTTTTCTTGTTTTGACACATTTTTAGTATTACTTTTGTATTACTTACAATACTTGTAATACTCTGTAAACAAAATAATAGCAAATGTATTATTATTACTGTTATTATTATTACTGTTAATTATTATTATTATTATTATTATTATTATTATTATTATTATTATTATTAATTACAATAACTAGGGATTTCCCTGCATAGAGAATTAAATCGCGACCAACTCTGAGGTGAGTCTTAATGGAAAATTACTACTTCTAAGACGTGTTGCACTCGGGGGATTTCTTTCCTAACTGCAATTGCAGCATATTGTGCCGTTGTGGCGCTGTACCCCTAATCAATACAGTGCACCAGAAAAAACAAAATCACAGAGGAATTGCGTGACTGTGCTGTGAGCTGCAGACAGTGTAGAACTCACACAGTGTGTCTTCACCTGTGGAGCTGCTTCTCTAAAACCATTTTAAAACTAAAACATAACTTAAAATTAACATGCATCTGAGCTGCGGCAGAAACACTCCTGAAGTTTAATCTCTGAAACTCTGCTTTTCCTAAAAGCAGCACGCAGCGTTTACTCGCGCAAAGCACACTATCTTCCCTACGTAGTGCACTTCGTGGATCATGAAATAGCAAATCCTTCACCCAAAGAGTGCAGGAAACGTTCGACTAAGTCATCTATAATCAACATTAACAATAGGTTACAAATTCCCTATTTAAAACTCAGCTGCTGGTTAATGATGATCGTGCTTGTTTGAACAGTAGCGCACTATGTAGGGGACACTGAGTGATTTGAGACGGTGTTATTCTCTTCTCAGAAAGTAAACACTGAAAGCGAGACGAGAAAGCGGAGCTGTGCAGATTGAACTTTTGCAGCGTCTCGTTCCAGAGCTCATTTTGGAGACACTGCTCCACAGAAATACGTGTTAAAAGCTTTAGTTTCGATTCACAGTTGATTCACCGATTGTTTTTTCTTTTTTTTGACGCTAAAAGCTTCATTTTATATGATTAACGAACCATAAGCATAAGTTAAACCACACAAACCATGACATTTCTTCTATTTCGAAGTCCACAGACTTCTTCGTTAAAGTTAACCTTGCATTCTTGCAAGTAGCGGGTGGTGGTCGCGAAGATGACTCGTAAAGTTTGATGTGTTGCCCCCTTTCGCCGCTATTTTCTTTCGGCCTGTTCTGCAGACAGGGTGGTCATCTTCAATTAACTTTCCTTCTGCATCCTTATAAAACCCAAAACATGACAAAACGTCAGACTTGGTCTTCTTAGAAGGCTGAAATATCTCTGAATCTCCAAGTTTTTCACACCGCGGTAATCGACCGCGGTTTTAACGATACTTTAAAGTTCAAACGGTACTACTAACCGTCATTAATTTTACCGCGGTTTACCGTGAAACCGGTAACCGTTTCATCTCTAGAAAGGAGTTATTGAAGAAGGTTCTGTTTTTTCTTCTTTTTTTGGCTTTGCATTGCAGTGGTTTCTGACTTCGTTTGTTTTTATGGCTTAGTTCATAACACCGAATCAATAATGCTAAATCGCTGCATGTTTCATTGATGTGTAGATCTTTAAATTAAATAAAATAGTACAGCACATTTTACAGATTATTCAAAAAACATTGGCTGGTGGTACGCCAGCACAGACAACTCCACAGTGAACCTGGCAGAGCCCCAGATCTCTACACGCTCAGCCAACATATCTTTGCATCTACAGAGTGGTGAAGAGAAAGGGGTTTTATGCTTTTACATATCCACCAGGTGCATGATGGGAAATAAACTCAAAAATCTAGTTGCAGTCTTGCAAATAGTGACCCTGCAAGATCCCCATTCTTTGCAAAATCATAGCCTTTGACTAAAATTCTGTGACATTGTCTTAAGATGCGTGAGAGTATCAGACTTTAGTCTTTCAAAAGTCTTTTCAAAGTCTTCTAGTGTATTGTTTGTATCAGTAAAATGCAAATTAGAATGTCTTTTCATAAGTTAAGTACTATTACTAGATGTTGAAACCGACAACATTAGTCACTGGTGACACTTAATCATGGCTCAAGTTTAAACAAAAGGCAGAATAGAAGAGCTTCAATTACAGGCCTTTACAGCCATGCTTATCTTCATTTACCATCAAATATGATGTCATTAGGGTGCACCATTGGCAGCAGATCTCTAAAAGGTACAAAGACCTCTCCCTTGGGTCCTGACCCCAAAGACACAGTAGAAGCCTCCAGCAAGGAGCCATAGTAATTGGCACTCTGGGAATGAAGAAAGAAAGAAACAAGAAAGAGTGGTGAGAAACGGGTCAGACAAGAGTTTGAGTTTGATGATAAACCAATAATTCAAACCATGCCAATGAACTGTCTTTTATAAAGTGGATTTAAATTCCAGGTGCTGCCTAAAACTCAGGCAATACTGCGATTTTACTATAATTATTATACTGTAGCTATCAATGACCACTAATTGCTCTGAGAGTTTAGGAGAGATAACACAGAGTTCAAGAGAAGTATTTCATGTCGATACATACAGTTGCATGCAAAAGTTTGAACTCCACTCAAATCACACATTTTATGAAAGAAAAAATCTCTACATGGAACAAACTTAAATATGGCATTTTTCTGCAAATTTTAGTTCACAATTTGCATTTATTGGCAGAGTTTAACATATTGGAAAAAATAAAACATAAAATGTTAAAACTTTTGCACATGCCACAATTTAATTTTTCAACACATTTAACACTGTTAACTTATTTTCCTAATATGTTATATTTAACAAATAAAAAGTAATTATGCATAAAAATGTGGAGAAGTCTGATCTCTGTCAACCTATTTTCACTTATAAAATCAACAAAACATGACCGGGGTGCCTAAACTCTTGCATACAATTGTAGCTGTTTAAGCCTTTCCTATGAATGCTACGTTAGAACCTGACTGAGGGTGCTTTACCTTGATGCCACTCTTAGTTTTCCATGTGAGGCCGAGCTTATTGGCCAGAACAGCAGCTGTGACGGTGCTGCCATTGTTGCCACCCCAACCCACCAGCATCACCCCTAGCTTGGGCACAGCTCTCTCTGTGCGAAACATGAACTCAGTAGTGTGAGGAGTCACCTAGAGACCCAAAGAGAAAAGCCAAAATATGATTATAGTCAAGGTCATTTGACTAGACTCATACAAACCATTTTACTACATTTGACTACAATTAGGATTAGATGAACATCAGTTCTGCACATGAAAGCCCAACTGAAATTCCTTCAGTGGTAATGGTAACTGGTTCACTAACTACCCTCAGGGTTTCCACTGCTCTCACTCTCATGAGGTCAATATTCACTTCATCCCATGAAGCTAAACAGCCTTTAGAAACACTTTGTTCAATGTTGTTCACTGCATTTGCAAGGAAACCCAAAACATTTGCAAGGGAATGCAAAAAACATCCAAAATAACACAAAATTATTGCGAGGGAATGCAGCTGCATTTTTTTAAACTACAGCCCCTGGGGGGCTCCGTACATCAGATAGCGCACTGTTTCACCTTTTAGAACGGGGTCAACGTCCCCTGACAAGACTTGAGATCTATTGTAGCCACTCAATTCTTACTTTTTTTGTTTTTAGTGATAAATATGTTTAACACAAAAAACGTATTTGCTGGTGGCTGGTGGTATTTTGGGGGTTTCACACATAAAGGTCACCAGAAAGCCAAAGCCAAATATTTATACAGTTTCCTATATTTGGCAAGTGTCACTGAACTATGAAGGCTTATGTATGAGAGCATGATTTAGTGGCAGAAGCTCACCGTGTATGTGTCTCCATCATTGGACACGGTGGTGGTGTAGTAGGAGTACTGAGACTCAATATACTGCTCAGTGTATCGCACAGTCGGGCTGTTGATGCGAATTTTCTCAGGCATGATTAACAACCTGCAAAAAAGACATTCACAAATAAAGAGTAAAACAGTCCAGCACACAGTCAGTCATGTAATATGCATACAGATTACGTCAAGTGCATGTTTCCATTACTCTGAAATGTGCAAGCGGATTAAAAGTGCGTTTTAAATGACTCAGCGCACTGCGTAGGCTTATCTGATACACGGCACACCAGTTTAAACATGCTGAAAGTTAACTAAGAAGTAGGTATTGTTCGATATTTTCCCAAGATAATGTTCAAAATGAAGCCACGCTTCCCAAACAGTTTAAGCTAATTGGCTACTAAAATGAAGCACTGCTACACTGAGTTTTCAGTGTAGCGTAATGCTAACTCACCTTTTACACTGGTGCAAATCTATCGTCTGGTTCTTGAAACGGTGCCCTAAAAAGGCTTTCCTGATTCTTTGTGTAGTAAAACGTGACAAAAAAAAGTCTCCGAACTAAACGGTTTCTACTTCCCTGTCAGGTGTTGAGTGTCACTGATGCTTCCTCCTCAGATGCTCTGTGTTATAGCCGCCGGTTCTAGACGTTTCCTCCACTTTATTCTTCCAGATACTGAAGCCCCGCCCACCAGCCAATGAAAAGCGAGCTCTTACAAATTCTAGAATCTTCAAAAGAACAGTCCTCAGCACCGCTCATCAGAACCGGACACGTGAGAGAACCTTGTTTTTCAAGGACGTATTATGTAATAAAAAGGATAACACAAAAAAACAAAAAATAAATACTAATCAGAGGAATGAAGGCAATATGATAATATTTCATGCTTAAGAATCCTCAGTGCACACTGTAGAAACAAGGCAAAAACAGTGAAAAACTCTGGTAAAATGCAGTAGTGCAAGCATAATTCATTTTAACTAGGGATGCTCCATAGGAGAAGTGTATGTTCTATTACTTTAGAGGAAAAAATGAGAACTTCCTACATTTCTTTCTATGTTTGCGTTTAAAAGGGCCATCTCCTAGATTTCTTGTAGGGGTCCGCTAACGACATTTGTGTAGTTTTATATACTGCAAAGTTAATGTAATACATCAAACACTTTTGTTCCAGAAAGCTCTGAAAATTCTAGCCTTCTGTTTGTAAAACGGGCCAAGAATTTCCTGAGCGAGCAATGTTTGTGTGATGTAATTGCATAATGCATGCTGGGCATTGCAGTGAGACAATGCTGACTGATGAAAAGACATAATAATAATAATAATCTTGTGAAACCTGCAAGACTATGAGATACAATGCTGCTACAGAACACAACATAACATATTAAATGCTAGTTTTAGGCCGGAATGCCCTTTTGTAGTTATAACCCTTCAGTACGCACATTCAGTAAACCTGCCTTAAAAGTGCAGTAAGCTACCGTACATTGGGCCTCATTCGCCAGTATCTTCATAAGTTTTTAGGACCCTAAGCCCGCAATTTGCGAGCAAAACGGTAGGTCACTTCTAGCCTTCATAACTTCGGAACGATTTAAGGTACAAACATGATCCACATATAAAGACATTCAGCAGACTTGCCCCTATTTAGTAGGCATGAGCGGTGACGTCAGCATCAGTGAGTAATTCGGCTCGGAAAATCACCTAAAATCTTGATATTATTGCTCTGCTTTTTGGCCTTCATATTCCAACAAAAAACGCGATAAAAGGCGATAAAAGTGCAGTGTCCCATTCAACACAATGAGTGCACTTTCGCTCTTTCCCTAAAAATCACACAAACAGGCCCTAAAATACATTTTAACAAATAAATAACAATAAATATGACAAATATTATAAAATTAATAATATCTAGCTGTCTTTCAGTTTACATTGATTCTGAGTATTACAAATATCTGATATTAAATATGCAACTCAATTTGTAATTAAAAATAAAGCCTGTCTTGCTGTGCATCAAAGTTTTAGCACTCAGCCTGAATGCAAGAGGACAGAAAATCAATAAAAAACATGTCCCCCTTATGCTAATTGTTTATTTTTGCTCATAATAACTAATTAATCACCATCAAAATTATTGCACTTTCAGCTCACAGACATTCCAGACTAACAATTTCTGAAAAGGCTTCCTGATTGCAACTTGTTTTCAAGATCTCTATAAGCAAAGATCAGAAAGATCCATAAAGATATCAAATTTCTGTTAGCATTTACATGTCAAAACAATGGCATATCTGGGTAGCCCAGGGTCTCCTGAAAATAACAACATATGGCATGTGTGACTGTCACATGTAAATACTTTATCATTAGATTGTAATTGTAATTGACCCAAAATACCAAAAGAATTCCCCATAATTCTAGGGTTCTAAAGGTTAAATTTGTTCTTGAGAAAGGTCCTAAGAAAAAGCCTACATTAGATTCATGACATGTTCTTAAATCACAGAATTGTCTGCACCTTTATGCTCTTGAGAGTGTGTAGTATCTGTTCTTACCTACAAATAAATCTCAAATAAGCAAACACTAGTGAAAGTCTGAATCTTTGTGAAAAGTGCATAAGTGGGTTTTAAGAAGTCATTTCTTCTTAAGAAAGTTTGGTGAGGCAGTATATATAATAATATGGTCACTGAGGGTACAGGGTGGGCTTGAAGGGCCCACCTACTACATTTGTCTTGAATTGAATTATTACTTTTCTTATAACATTGTATGGCTTAATGGACCAAATACAAGAATAATTCATTTATACATGATCATTTTCCATCTTCTCGCTTACAATTAAACAGGCTGTTTTTGTTACCATCCCTTTAAGACGGATGTATATATAAAATAACGTAGTAATAACAACAACAACAACAATAATAATAATAATAATAATAATAATAATAATAATAATCATCATCATCATCATCATCATCATCATAAAAGAAATAATAATAATAATAATATTTTTTTATATAGCACTTTCATGCCAGTGGCAGCTCAAAGTGGTTTACACACATGTCATAAAGCATAAAAGTAATAAAAGAAATCATGAGTATTAATTTGAAATCATATATGAAAATGACACAGATCAAATTAAAAAGATAAATACCAAGAGACAAAGAGTTTTTATTAAATGTTAAAAATTAAAGAGATACATTTTTAAATGTTTCTTAAAAGTGAGCACTGAGCTTGACTGTCTAATAAAAGGTGGAATTTGGTTCCAAAGTTTAGAAGCATAAGAACAAGGCCTCTCCGTGTTTTCTGTATTTTACGGAAGGTATTTGAAGGAGGCCAGTATCTTCAGATCTAAGATCACATGCTAGAACATAAACAGACAGGCATTCTGTGATGTAAGTGGGTACTAGGTCAATTAGAGCCTTAAAAACTAGTAGCAGATAAGATACAGGTAGCCAGTGCAGTTCTTTCAAAACAGGAGTGATATGATATCTTTTTTGTTTGTTTGTTTTTTTTTTAGGATGTGTGCTGACACATTTTGTATGAGTTGTGGAGGATGTATTATTTTCTTAAGAAGCCCAGTAAAAAGAGCATTACCGTAATCAACTCTGTACAGTAATGCTTTTAACAAATGCAAAGTTTCTCTGCATTGATCTGAGATAAAAAAGGCTAAACTTTTGCAATATTTCTCAAATGATAAAAAGCTACTTTAGTGACTGTGTTTACGTGCAAGATAAAACAGAGCTCAGAGTCACACCCAGGTTTCGTACTTCAGGTTTGGTATCTGAAGCTAAAGAACCGAGCTTCTCATAAAGCAGCTTTCTCTGAGTTTTAGTACCAAGGATCCGTATTCCAGTTTGTTTGTGATTCAGTTGCAAAAAATGTTGTGACATCCACTGAGAACTATCTGACACACAGCTAGTAAGTCTGTCTACAGAGTCTTGATTATCAGAAGGAATAGATATGTGTAATTGTGTGTCATCAGCATAGTTATGAAAATGAATATTATGTTTCCTAATGACATCATGTAGAGGTAACATGTACAACAAGAAAAGCAAAGGCCCTAAAACTAAACCTTGTGGGACTCCATAATTTTCCAGTGAAAATATGAACTGTCTATTAACTAAATATGATTTAAACCATTCTAAAATTGTACCTGAGAGGCCTACCCAATATTCAATACGGTGGACTACAATTTTGTGATCAACGGTATCAAAAGCTGCACTAAGATCCAATAAGACCAGAATAGAAAGATTTTATGCATTAGCGCTGAGCCTGAGTTCAATGAAAACACAAACCAATGCTGTCTCAGAACTTTGGTTAGATCCAAAACCTGAATGAAACTTCTTACATAACTTATTTGATATCAGATATGCATTTAATTGTTTGAAAAGCAACTTTTTCTAAGCCTTTATTTAAAAAAGGAAGGTTTGAAATTGGTCTAAAATTATTTAGTATGGAAAGATCCATGCTACTCTTTTTTAGCAGAGACTTCACCAAGTCAGTTTTAAAAGCGTCTGGAAAAGCACCTGTTGACAGAGAACAGTTAATAATAGTTAAAACATCACTTTGAACATGATCAAAAAACATCTTAAGGAGAGAAGTAGGAACAGGGTCAAGATCACATGTGGCTGAACTTAATTTGTTCATAACAGTCATAAGCACCTAATAATTGATAACTGAGAAAGTAAATGTAATGTAGAGTCAATGTAATGCTTTTTAAAGTAACTTTCAGGCACTTTCTTCCTTACTTCTATTTGAATTAATTTGAAAGAAAACACAGAAATGATCTGATATGAAAACATAAGATTAGGGACATGTTTGTGTTTAAACTTAGAAGTCTAATGAATTCTAATGTGTTACTGTCTTTTAGGTTATCAATATGTAAGTTAAAGTCCCCAGAGAGAAGATTTTTATCAGAGCTTGTGGATACAGCTGATATTAATTCTGCAATTTCTGTCAATATATTACTATTTCACTTTAGAGGTCTAAATATTCCAATTAGTAACATAGAAGTATCACTAAAAAGGTTGAGTGCAACATATGCAAAAGACGTAAATTCACTAATAGTGTGCATGCGACTCCTCCTCCTCGCCTGCCCTGTCTTACTGTATGCATAAATCTGTGGTTTTCAGAAGCA